TGCAGGAGGTTACACTGGTCCCATCTGCCATGCACCGCATGGTGGTCCGGTGGATTCCAAGGATGGGTGGTGATCGGGCTGGCCACCTGCGCCAGCGGGCTTCATATTTGTCTAATAGGGACCGGCTCTTAAAGGGAAAGAACAGATCGTTTCAAGTTGAAACACAAGGAGAAGTAGAAACACAAGTGGACAAGGTATTTGTTTCCAAGCTAAATAAGAGCTATCAGGGAACCATGTATCATAACTATATGCCGGTGTGGACAGGGTATTTGTCAATAAACCGCTATTGTCACCCCCACAGCAGCAGCCATGGACACAAGCCTCATGCTGCCACATTTCTCAATATAAATTCCAGGTTTTAATACAGAACTAAACCACAGAACATTACATGTAAACAAATGTAGAAACATAACAGGACCAACAAGTGAAGGTGAAAGCTGAAAGCTCATTTGGGCAGCGATTTTAGTAGTAGGATACAGCATATTTGACATTTACAACAAGAAAATGCATTATTCTATGAACTGAGCTTTAAACAAACTTTAAATTAGGAGTGGGGAACCTTTGAGCCACTGGACTTCAACTTTCAAAAGCCCTAGCCACGATAGTGGAAAGGCACCAAATTAAAGAATTTATAATCCAAATGATCTGAATGGCATTATATAAATCATGGGTGCTAGGCCAAATAAGTAGCATCTTTTTGGACACTGCATACCAGAGTCTAGAAAAGTTCCCTTTGGGAACTATAGCACCCAGAATCCTGCAGCCATCTTGGTCCCCTAGTTCTAAACTCAGTGGCAAATCCACCTTCAAAATTATCATTTCCTTCTCTCATCCTTTGCTTCCCTGAGCCTTACCTGTTCTGGCTGGTGGAAAGCTGGAGGTTCGGGGTCTGTGCCAAGAGAGGATTCTGTGCTTGGGCAGCCACTGTGCCATTTAAACTTCCTAGGATGCCATTGATAGGAACCTGCTGTCCTCCTGCCAGACTCCCAAGGAGACCATCCACCAGGCTGTGACTGGCCGTTGTCCCTCCCCCATGAATGGACCCCATGGCCCTGGCCAAGCCATTCACGGGGGGCTGTTGCTGTTGTTGCTGTTGCTGCTGGATCCCAGTAGCCAAGCAGAGGGAGGCAGGGCTCTGTTGCAACAAAGGTAGTGGGGGAGGCGTACTGTGGAAGGACAGGGAGGAGCTGCTTCGGCTCGGGCAGCCAGAGTGAGGATCCTGGTAGGAAAGAAAAACAAGTACAATCAGGACAAAGACAAAAGCTTTGGATATATAAATAATTTCCCTTATTCTGCCCAATTCATTCCAGTTTCAGGTGCTGAGGAGATGAAGCCATGATGGGTCCAAAAACCTCACCCCACCCCGGACCATTACAAATTTTATTTTTGCTACTGTTGGGGTTTTTACAACCTCGCGTGCTGCCTTTAGCAGGTTTGGCTGGGAGGGACCTTACTGAGCTGAGATTACTATCAATTTACCCAGAACTAGCCAATCTTCTATCTCTACCTCTGAATTCAAAGGAAGGCCCACCTCTCTGCTCAGTGCCTTTTTCTCTCTGTGTTGTCCGCTGGCAGTTAGTGAGCCTTTTGAAGTCTTTTGCTAAAAGCAGTCAATCATGTTTGTCAGGTGGCTGTTTGATCTGTTTGACTGTAAGTAATGAAACCTTTTATTCTTTCTCTTACTAATATCTCAGGGTTAGCTATTGAATCTGTAAGTGCCAGTTGATGAGAAGAAGGGAAACTTTGTTGAACTTGAAGTCATTCTGCTCTGTGGATCCCTGCACTTCTGCTGCATAGCTAGAGGAATTTAACCAGAAGTTCAAAACTCTGCAACATTTACCACCCATCTAGCTATTGGGATTCAACAAGCACTGTGCACATATTCAGAAGTGCATCTTTGTAGCACATGGGCTAGAAAGCAAAGAACTGCAGAAAGCTGTACAGGGATTCCAATATTACATTCTGCAAAATTGTGGCAATAACTAGCACTCCATATCAGTAAGTGAGCCAGAACTGGTAAAAGTTTTCTTTCCAACGACAAGCTCCAGAACTCCCAGACCTTTAGAACGTTTTACAGATAATAGTCCATTATACAGTTTACAAACTTTGGATTGAGCATGTGCTTTGCCTACTAAAGGTCCAAGGTTTACTCCTTAGCATCTCTGTAAAAATCCCCGCAGAGAGCTTGTATTAATCAGAACAAATAGTAATGGGATAGGCCAGCAGTGGAGACTTCCTGGTATTGTTGGACCACAACTCCCATCAGCCTCAAACATTATAGTCAAAGGTGACGAATCATGGGAACTGCAAGCTCACATTGTGTAGGGAGTCATTTATTTCTAGCCCAGGAGAGATGAACCACTAATCTGCTATAGTCAAATAATCATGGGAGCTGAAGGCTCACATTGTGTAGGGAGTCATTTATTCCTAGCCCAGGAGAGATGAACCACTAATCTGATTCAGAATCAGTCTGTTTCTTGTCACACATCTTAACAAACTGATAACATTCAGCCACTTACAGTGGTATCAAAAGAATGAGCATAATTCCATATGACTTTTGAACAGGAGGTCCTTGGGATGAGGACACAAACAAAATTCCAAACAGATGAAATCTCGTATTAGATGGACTGCCAAAACCTTATTATGTTTCAAGGGGAAGGTAAGTCCTCGGTACAGACACTTCTGGCCGGTGGTGAGGGCCTGCTGACATACATTCCGAAGGTGAACAGAAAGATACATTTTGTACCTCAGAGGATGTAGAGAGTGAGTTCTCCATGCCAAAGCTGTTCTTGCAGGGTGGGCTCTTGCTGATGCTCAGGGAGTCGCTGTTGCACACTACAGAGGAAAACAGAACGGCAGGTTACTCACCTGTAATTGTAGTTCTTTGAGTGGACCTCTGATTCACACTGCGGGTTATCCGTGCCTGTGCGGAGCCTCTTCGGAATATTCTAGAGCTTCTGCGGTAGCAAAAAAACCACATTAGAATAGACCCCTCCCCCTCAGTATAAGTAACTTGGCGCCAGGACTCTCCCTCCATGTCAACCGCTGCAAGGAGAAAAATATTGCATGGCGTGACAGAGGGGAGGTCGGGTGGAATGTGTGAATTACAGAGGTCCACTCGAGGAACTACGATTACAGGTGAGTAACCTGCCGTTCTTCTTCGTGGCCTCTGTGAATCACACTGCGGGTGACTAGCAAGCTGTCTTACCCGGAGGCAGGGTGTCACGCCAAGGCGGAAGCCAAAACTGCACGTCCGAATGCTGCATCAGACTTTTGTCGAACATCTAGTCTATAATGTCGGACGAAGGTAGATGGTTGTGCCCACGTAGCCAAGGTGCAGATGTCGGGGAGAGGCACACCACGTAGGAATGCTATATAGGCTGCCAATGCCCTGGTGGAATGAGGGCAAATAGCTTGAGGGACCGGCTGTTGAGTAAGCTGGTATGCAAGCCGAATTGTAGAGGCAACCCAGCGGGAGATTGTCTGGAGATGACTTGTAGCCCCTTGCTAGGGAGCTGATAACTGACAAAAAGACGTGGGGAATGTCAAAAGGGTTGCGTTTGTGAAAAATGAAAGGAGAGGGCCCTCTTGACGTCCAAAGTATGAAGAAGTCATTCATGGGTTGTGGATGGTGGTAGAAAGAAAGATGGGAGAACAAGTGGTTGAGAGAGATGAAACTGAGACACCACTTTAGGGAGGAAGGAGGGGAACAGCTTTACTTTATCAAGATAGAATTGTATATAAGGATAATCATGGCATAGGGCCGCAAGGTCGCTTGCTCGGCGAGCTGAAGTAATTGCAATGAAAAAGGCCGTTCTGAAGGAAATTAGGCGGAGATATGCTGAAGCTAGTGGTTTGAACGGACGTTTTGTGAGTTGTCGCAAGACTAATGTCAAGGACCATGGTGGAGAGGGCAAGTGAACGTCGGGGTAAGCGTGTGACAATCCCTTAAGAAAGCGTTTGAGTGTGGGATGTCTGAAAAATCGAGCCACCGGAGAGGTCGGTGGTTGGTACGAGACAATTGCTGAGAGATAGACTCTGATAGACGAGAGAGAAAGACCAGTTGCGCATGGGATGTCTGAAATATTGAGCCGCCGGAGAGGTCAGTGGTTGGTACGAGACGATTGCTGAGAGATAGACTCTGATTAAAAGATTTTTACAGCTGATTGGCGGCTTCGCAAAATGGCTTCCCTATGTTTTCAGGACCGATTATTCGCAGGATAGCCATTTTTACAGCTGATCAGCACATTGCAAAATGGCTGCCCTATGGGCGATCTTCGCAAAACGATCGATACAGGTAAACTTTCCTAGTAGAGGGCTTCTTTTCTTGATGGAGAACATCAATCAAGGAGAAACAATCCTCCACGCTGCCAGGTGCAGAGCAGGTAAGTCTTAGAAGTTTTCCGCACGATGATTTTGCTAAACAGCGATTTTCACGGAACGAATTATCGTCATCATGCGAGGTGCCACTGTATATGTAACTTTGATTACTAATAAACAGAAAAAGATTTTTTTAAGTTTAGCAGTAGAAATTGACTTGTTTCACTTTCAGACTCACGAAGACAGACGTAAGAGGCTCTTCAATGCGGTGGTTGAAAGAAACTGAAGGGAGAGTCTTGGTGCCAAGGTACTTATTCTGAAGGGGAGGGGTCTATTCTATTGTGTTTTTTGCTACCACAGAAGCTCTAGAATATTCCGAAGACGCTCCGCGCAGGTGCAGATTGCCCACAGTGTGATTCACAGAGGCTACGAAGAAGAACTCCGATAGCGGGATCTTATCGCAAATCACGCAGTATTTGAATGGGCCCAAAGGGGCCATGAACAACAAAGAGAAGAAAAAATTGGAGGGAAGAAGGTGGAGGGGGGTGCGATGGCCGGAGGCCGAGGCATAGAGAAGAAAAACTAAAAACAGTACGGTGGTACCTCATTAGAAGACAACCTCACAAAACAACAAATCTGCATGATGACGAGGTTTTGCGATCACTATAGCGATTTGCAAAACAGTGATTCCAATGGGCGATTTTCGCTTGACGATGATTTGGTCCGTGCTTCGCAGACTTTTTTTTGCAAGACGACAATTTTTACAGCCGATTGGCGGCTTCGCAAAATGGTTTCCCTATGTTTTCAAGACTGATGATTCGCAGGACTGCCATTTTCACAGCTGATCGCGCTTCGCAAAATGGCTGCCCTATGGGCAATCTTCGCAAAATGATGACTATTCTTCCCCATTAGAACGCATTAAACGGGTTTCAATGCATTCCAATGGGGAAATGGTTTTCGCACGACGATGATTTCGCTAAACAGCGATTTTCACAGAATGAATTATTGTCGTCATGCAGGGCACCACTGTATATGTAACTTTGATTACTAATAAACAGAAAAAGATTTTTTAAGTTCAGCAGTAGAAATTGACTTGTTTCACTTTCAGACTCACAGAAGACAGACGTAAGAGGCTCTTCAATGCGGTGGTTGAAAGAAACTGAAGGGAGAGTCTTGGTGCCAAGGTACTTATTCTGAAGGGGAGGGGTCTATTCTATTGTGTTTTTTGCTACCACAGAAGCTTCTATTCCAAAGACGCTCCATGCAGGTGCGGATCACCCACAGTGTGATTCACAGAGGCTACAAAGAAGAACCAGAGCTTTTCCATGCTGCTCCTTTGCAGCTGCAAAACATCTGTCAACATTGACTTAAGGCCAGGCTATAGGAGATATTATATATGAAGTTTGGCTTTGAGTGCATTTTTTTTCCTTTGAAAAACAGCCAGGGGATAAGAGGGGGGTGACGAGGTTTTGCGATCACTATAGCGATTTGCAAAACAGTGATTCCAATGGGCGATTTTCGCTTGACGATGATTTGGTCCGTGCTTCGCAGACTTTTTTTTGCAAGACGACAATTTTTACAGCCGATTGGCGGCTTCGCAAAATGGTTTCCCTATGTTTTCAAGACTGATGATTCGCAGGACTGCCATTTTCACAGCTGATCGCGCTTCGCAAAATGGCTGCCCTATGGGCAATCTTCGCAAAATGATGACTATTCTTCCCCATTAGAACGCATTAAACGGGTTTCAATGCATTCCAATGGGGAAATGGTTTTCGCACGACGATGATTTCGCTAAACAGCGATTTTCACAGAATGAATTATTGTCGTCATGCAGGGCACCACTGTATATGTAACTTTGATTACTAATAAACAGAAAAAGATTTTTTAAGTTCAGCAGTAGAAATTGACTTGTTTCACTTTCAGACTCACAGAAGACAGACGTAAGAGGCTCTTCAATGCGGTGGTTGAAAGAAACTGAAGGGAGAGTCTTGGTGCCAAGGTACTTATTCTGAAGGAGAGGGGTCTATTCTATTGTGTTTTTTGCTACCACAGAAGCTTCTATTCCAAAGACGCTCCATGCAGGTGCGGATCACCCACAGTGTGATTCACAGAGGCTACAAAGAAGAACCAGAGCTTTTCCATGCTGCTCCTTTGCAGCTGCAAAACATCTGTCAACATTGACTTAAGGCCAGGCTATAGGAGATATTATATATGAAGTTTGGCTTTGAGTGCATTTTTTTTCCTTTGAAAAACAGCCAGGGGATAAGAGGGGGGAGTCCATGCCTACCATTTTTAATGGAAAAAAGAACACCTACTGAAACTATATAGTAAGGTATGGCTCCACCCCCTCCACTAGGCACATTCCAAGTCTAAAAGACAAAGGGCAGCCCTCCTCCCCTGAGGGTACAGGCTGGAAACTTCATGTTTTGGACTGGAACTCGTAGAACTCCATAGCTATGCTGGCTGTGGGATTCTGGTAGTTCCCAAAAGAAAATTCTCCAGTATCTGGATTCAGGACCAATCCAGATCAGACATCCTCCTTGTGGTTATTACTTAGAACACTCCTGCCCTTAAGGGTTAACATCCAGTAATGCTTGCTTTTAGTCTGCCTATCACCACACATATCTGAGTTTGGGGTCATCCAAGTCACACAGCTAACAATCCATCAGTGTGTCTCGCTGGCAGGTCTATGCCTCTTGTTTCAGTGTCTAATTAATCGCTCAGTGTGTACAGCACTTTCTACTTCCCTACTCTGGAATCTGGCAAAGAGCGGAAAACAAATGCAAATTTTAAAAACCAGCGTAAAGCTTAAAGGTACCGAGCATAAAAAACATATACTCATAAGAGAACAGTAAACAAATGCAAAACTTTTAAAAAACAGCTGACACTAATCCCAGAAATACCCATTAAAAGCCCTGATGAATCAAAATGTGCCTGCCTAATGACTGAGCAAGATAAAAGCTGAGACCTTCTGAACTTGTCAGAGTGGGCCATTCTACAGATAGAAAGTTACCATGGAAAAGTCCCACCGATGTGGTTTTCTTACCATTAGGAGCCAAAATGTACTGGGTTTGGCCTGAGGCGCCATTGCTGGTGGTCACCACAGGGAAGGGAACAGAGAGCTGGACGTTCAGAAGCTGCAAGCGTTCCTTTTTAGCTGCCAAAGTCATGATCTGCTCCTGGAGGCGCTGGTTCTCCTTCTGCAGAGAATGAAGGGCCTTGAGCATTTCTACAACTGCAGAAAACGTGGGTGAGAAGTGGGGCAGGGAAGGGAGAGAAGGGGCAGAGAGGGATGGGGAAAAACAACAGCAGTGACACAGTTAAAGTATATGTGAAAGAAGGGTGATAGCAAAACAGTACATTCAATGGAGCTGACAAGGCTATCCTAGAACACTTCACTGTCTGCTCTCTAAAAAAGCAGCCCTCATTCAACAATTACATTGGCAGCTCACTATTCTTTCAAGGAGCTCTATGTATTTTCCTCAAAAACCTTCCGTTTAGTCGTCGTCATCATCATCATCATCATCATCTCAAAACTCCCTAGCTAGAAGGGACGCATCAATGAGTCCAGGCCCTGTCAAGGACACACAGTAGGGAATTGAGCTCCCAACCTCCAGATCTGCAGCCAGAGACCTGCTCCCAACTTCCAGATCTGCAGCCAGAGACCTAAACCATTTTGCACAAAAAAGCCGTGCATTTTGCACATAACTTTGTACTATGTGCAAAATACAAAGCTTTTCATGCACTCCACCTTTTTGGGGAGGGGGGGCGGTCGATGTTGCTGTTGACAAAAAAGAAAGGTACTCTCACTTAGGAAACAATGTGCAAGTGTGTCTTACATCCTTACTGCTACCATTTGTATCCATTTGTTTATAGAGTTTATACGGTCAGTATCAGCAATTGGAAGGTTACCTTTTAAAAGTAATCCATCCATCTAATTGCTTTTCTTTAGAAACTTGTTGCATTACTCACTACTTTTTTTTGTTATTGTTTGTTTGTTTGATAAGTAAATGGCAATAAACTTGAAAGCTTCCATTCAAACTGCCTCTAAAAATAACTAAAATTGCCCTCCGAAGGGAACTGTAAAAGTAGCTAGAAAATACTGCCCACCCTCATGTGCCTATGTTCATACGCAACATTGCACGCTGTTTGCTCTTATTGCATCACTTTTGAAATGCTATTTCACTGCACCCTTGTTATCAAAACAGGTATAGCTTGTTAAAAGATGGCTATGTTGCTTGTTACTTCCAACACCTAGCAGAGATTGCTTCTGTTCCATTTAACAGTATTTGGCTCTTCAAGGACTGTGTGATGCTGTAATCTTTTTCACTGCCAAGTCTCCTGGGTCTCTGATCTGCCTGACAAGTAGAGGTTTCTGCATGGGACGCTTTCTCCATCCCTGAGATAAAATGAAGGCTGACGTCTGGCATTTGCTCCTCTCCCCTTGCTCTGCCAAGCAAAGACCCCCTTTTCCAGGTAAACCCTCCTGACTCACTGTTGACGCCAGCCTCCCCATTGCCCTGTTTCTCCAGGAGCTGCTCAATGTTTGGTGTGGCCTGGGGGACATTTTCCAGCTGACCGCTGCTCGTTGAGACTGTCTGGTCGAAGAGAGTGGGGAGACTGCTAATGGGAGACCTGCAGGGGGAACGAGGTGGAGGAAGACAACCATCAGAAATGAGAAGGACCAAACCAGATGAACCTGTACAGAATTAACAAGTTCTGAAGTGGGCTGGAATTACAGCAACAATAAAAACACTTATAATGAGATACCCGGATGAGTTTACAAAATATGACATGTCATAGAAATCCCCTCCCTACTACTGATTACCTGGTTTCATTATGTGATCAATCCTCTACTGATATAATGTCAGCTATGATGAATCATAGAATCTGTTCTCTTTGTCTGGGAGGTCTATAAATCTTTGTAGGACTCCTGGGGGAGTCAGTTATCCTTATCAGGTTCTGACAGTGATCCCTTCCTGTTCCATCACAAGCTATCAGTACCACATGTCTTTGACTTGGAACTCCAGTTCAACTGGGACTTAGACAGGGAGATTAAAAAAGCTCAGCCCTGAAAACTACATATAAAGGCATACCTCGGTTTACGAATGCCTCGGGTAACGTAATTTTTGGTTTACGAAAGAAAATCCATTGAAAATAATGCCTCGGTTTATGAATTTTTTTTTTCACAATACAAAGCAAGTTTCCTCAGGATGCATTGCGCCTGGGAGGTTTATAGTGCCGCCCCCATGCATGCATTCCTATGGGAAACCGAGTTTTGTTTTGCGAATTTTTCGCAATACAAAACGTCCCCGAAAGCATTAAATTCGTAAACCAAGGGATGCCTGTATTGTTTTAAAAACAATGGGGCTTGTGACACCTTCATCAGATGAAAGGGGCTTGCAGTTTATTCCAAATGAAACATGTGTATTCAAGGTGCCACAAGAAAGCTTGTTACTCGTATTTTTGCTGCAACAGATTAACACGACTAGCACCGTCAAAGTTACTTTGGACACATAATTCTCCCATTGCCTGCCCTAGAAGAAGACCTTGAGCAGCCAGATGTTGGATTCTGGACTCAGTTCCAGAGCTTATGTTTACAGATTATAGCTAGAGATTATTATACAATTTAATTAGAGTCAATTGGACTGTCAATCAACATGAAAAATATAGCTATCCTTCTCTTTCATGAGGTCAGCAAGAGAGGGGTAGGCTTTCACGATAGGAAAGAGAATGAGAAAGAACTACAGCAGTGGTTCCCAATATTAAGTCCCCAAATGTTCTTGGACTAAAACTCCCAGAAGCCTTCACCACTAGCTGTGCTGGCCAGGATTTCTCAGAGTTGTAGGCCAAGAACATCTTGGGACCAAAGACTGGGAACCACTAAACTACAATAAAGATTTCCAGAATTTTCCAACATATTTCAAAAATAAGAGGCTACTCTCAAGAGATGGATTAAAGTAATCTGTTCTGGTTGCACTTAGTCTTCTCCAGTTAACCAGAGCCTGGAAAAATTACTTTGGGGCACTACAACTTCCAGAATCCTGCTATGGCCAGGAATGCTTAAAATTGTAATTCTCAAAGTAACCTTTCAAGCACTACAGGCAAAATTAAAAGTAACTGAAGAGTAGGTGCACTTTTCAGCATGCAACGGAAAGGTCCAGATCAATTTCTTGAGGATAGAAAAGCTGTTCAATCCATGTTCAGTCTTTTCCACATCCGGAAAATACGACAGATTGCAGCTTCCATCACCCTGAGCTGACACAACTGGAGAAGCCTGGATTGGACAAATATGGAAGCCCAGCTTGTCAATAAACCCACCAGGCACTATGGGTCCTGCTTTTGTTGTGGTATGTCCTATTTTGTGGTGGGGATTCACATCTCACCCTCTGCTTGACAGCCCCTGGGTGCCTTATTTCATCTCCCTGCCTCTCCCCACTCCCAAAGCCCCCCCCCAGTGGAAAGAAGCTTACATGGAAGAAAGACTTTCTTGGGGTGATGACCCTCGGCAGGCAAAATTACAGTCTTCCAAATCTGGCTCTGGAATTGGAAACATAAGTGATGGTTAATCTTACTTTTCTCTTATATTTTTCTGTGTCCAGACAGCCCTGTACCTTAACACCAACCCCAAGTCTACTTCTACCTAACGACGTAGAGGCCTGACTAGACATAATGCCAGGAGTCTTTTTGCTTACCTCCAGGTCTACCCCAAAAAGAGCAAAAAGGAACAGGGAGAGTAAGGAAGGAAATCCTTCCACATCCATTGTTTACCTCCAAACACATTCACAAGCATTTTTCTTAAAGAGCATTCACTTCTAGTCCCAAGGCTTGGCTAAGAAGGCAAACAGCAGCAAGCAGGGAGTGGGGGTGGAGGAGGACAGTCGACAAAGTGAGTGTCAGTATAAGGAAGTGTTTCATGTTCTCTGTACATCCCTTCTGCTCTGCCAAGTTGGACCCCATTTTTTTCAGAGGCAGACCTGAGTTTGCAGAAACAGTTTTGCTGCTGACATGAGTGCTGGCTCCAGATTTCTAGAGAGGCCCTTGGTAGAGACAGCAAAAATCTGCCAGCTTCATTTTCTCCCACATTCCATTTTTATTTTTAACACCTCAAAGTTACTTCTGTCCCAAATATGTCATTTGTTGGTCTTGACAAATTCTTTGAAAAACAAACTGAACTGACACTTTCAACTACCTGCACTAAAATTTTACAGATACTGAGAGAAAACTATGGAGGGAACTACACTGGAATTGCATGGCATAAATAAATGGATGAAGGGCCAACCCTAATTTAACCCTAGCATACGTGAATACACAAAGCTTTAGTCCCAGATTTCTAAGGGTTAAACATTCAAAGCCTAGGTCCTTGATGGATGGATCTGTCCATTTTGATTTCTCTTTGATAGACATTAAAAAGAATCTCTTAAGTTCTTTTTGTTCTAAAAATGAAGAAAGATGTAAATGTTAGGAAAGAAATTGTTTTAAAAAATGGAAAAGAACTCAAGCAAAATGCTCACCCACCCTAGCCTTTGGTCCCTGTGCCTTTAGCATGCGGACTCTCTGCTGGACCTCTTTTGTCTTTACTCATGTTACCACTACCATTCATTTGCCCTCCCTCTGGACCCAGGTTCCAGAATTACCCAGAGGAAGGAGGAGTACAAGGCTGATGGTGATGCTACCCTCTTCTCGCCCTTGATGGTGCCTGTGTGCTCTGGCAGAGCAGATGAACAAACAGTGAAGGCAAGGAGGAACAGGGCCTGGAGGCTCTAGAGGCTGACCGAGGGCCTCTTACAGATACATGTGCTTTACAAGTGCTCAGTGATGCTGACGCCACATTTTTGCCCTGGATAATATGTTTAGTTTGGCCTACCAAATTTCTACACATAATGAGGAATTCTGCACTTAACCGTCTTCCATTTACAAGACTGCAAAAGTAAACCCAGCTCAGTTAGTAATGGACTCCTAGCTATTTTAAAAAATATTGTTTGAAAATATGATTCCGAAAATGTTATACATCCTTTATGCTGGCTGTGGAATTCTGGGAACAGTAGTTCAGAAAAAAAGAAATCCAAACCGTTTAGCCGCTAAACCGCAGAAGCCTGTGCTGCAGGGTCAGAAGACCAAGCAGTCGTAAGATCGAATCCACGTGACGGAGTGAGCGCCCGTCACTTGTCCCAGCTCCCGCCAACCTAGCAGTTCGAAAGCACGTAAATGCAAGTAGATAATTAGGGACTATATCAGTGGGAAGGTAATAGCGTTCCGTGTCTAAGTCGCACTGGCCATGTGACCACGGAAGATTGTCTTCGGACAAAACGCTGGCTCTATGGCTTGGAAACGGGGATGAGCAGCGCCTCCTAGAGCCGAACACGACTGGACAAAAATTGTCAAGGTGAACCTTTACCTTTACTTTACAAATACATGTGCTTTACAAGTGCTCAGTGATGCTGACGCCACATTTTTGCCCTGGATAATATGTTTAGTTTGGCCTACCAAATTTCTACACATAATGAGGAATTCTGCACTTAACCGTCTTCCATTTACAAGACTGCAAAAGTAAACCCAGCTCAGTTAGTAATGGACTCCTAGCTATTTTAAAAAATATTGTTTGAAAATATGATTCCGAAAATGTTATACATCCTTTATGCTGGCTGTGGAATTCTGGGAACAGTAGTTCAGAAAAAAAGAAATCCAAACCAATTCCACTTCTGCCTAATTATAATTGTGTGTCATCAGTTCTGTCTTATGGCAGCCCTTTTCAAGTTGTCTAATAGAGAGTCCTTAGAAGTGGTTTACCGTTTCCTTTTTCTGGGGGCAACCTGGGACGGTGAATCTTGTCCAAGGCCACACAGGCTGGCTTTTCTGGGTTGCCCAATGGGGAACTGAACCCCCAACCTCATATCTAACTCACTGAGCTATCCAACCAGCGTGGGGAACTGAACCCCCAACCTCATATTTAACTCACTGAGCTATCCAACCAGCCCATTTCTGCCGACGCGCCTTTAAAATGAAAGCCTTTTATATCCCCTGTAAAGCTGGAAGTGTTTGGTGCAACCTTTCAAAAACACTGCTGCTATTTCCTGTCTGAAGGACTGTGGTTTCTCCTTCCCACCACCAGATGGCAATCTAGTGTAGTCATTGTCACTCTCTAAGCCTACTGTATAACATAACATCTTCCTTTTTCAACCCTCATGCGCATGGCTCACTGTGTCATTTTTCCCAAGAGTTCCAGCTCAGATTTCAGACGCTTCAATAGCTACTGTACTTATATGTGCCAAAGAGCTTGATCTCTGTAAATAGCACATTGTTCTGTGCAAGAAAGCAGGAACAGCTTTCTCATTCTCCCAAATGTGGAAACCCTCATCTATTCTAACAATTTGAGGATTGATCAATAAAGGGAAAGAGGAAAATAGTCTTCTAAACTGTGACTATATTACAATATATTCTTCCAGGTTTAGTACAATGCAAATCAATTCCAATTTTTCCCATCTACACAATGTAGATTGTAAGTGCAGGGTAAACTTGTACTTTTCTTTGAGGAATAATTTCTTTTTGAACACCCATCGGGAGGTTGTTTATTTTAAATCACTCTACATCACACTGTTTTTGGACCCATTTTTTGGTTGTGTGAATGGCCATGTTGTTGTATTCTGAGGGGAGGGCATTTCCTATGCTGATGCCTTGGTGATGTGTTTGAGGTGGTGTGGGATACTTGTCCCTTTGAGAAATCAGTAATTATATACCTACTGTCTGAACTGTTTTCCTTTTAAAAAATTTTATACAAAACCATTTGACTTTAGCAGTACATCTCCTAGGCGCTGGAACATTTCTATCTGCAACACTGATGCGGCGCTATGCCACTTAGAATAAACAAGAGGGGGGAAATATCTTTGGATGAAAACATTATGGACAAAAATGGAATGTGAACAAAGTCAGGACAGACCCACGGGCAGATCAAAGTGTCAAGCCTGGGTCTACTTAAGGCCATTTAAAGAGTAGTGTAGTCTCTTGTACAGATTTAACCCGGTTGAATCAAGGTGTTCCCATGATGATGAGGACAGTGACACAAAGAGCATGTGACGCAAATTGACAATAACAACAATATCCCAACACAACTCTCAGGTTATTTAGACAATGTAGTCACACCCTGAGCCTTTTTGACTTCGGGAAAGAAACTTTCGAATGACATCAGAGTGCTTGTGAAATATCTAGGTTTATGTACCTGTCCGGTTGGTCTCTGACTGGTTCATCAAGGGATTAATTGACAACCCAGAGGTGAGGGGGCTTCCAAAAATATGCGAGGAAGGGAGACTGAACGTAGATCCCGCCAGGGAGAACACCTGTAGAAAAGGTAGACGAAGGGAGGAGATAAACGCATTGCATTTCCAAGAGACCTTTGACAAGCAGTGACAATCTTTTAGGGGAGGAATGATCTAGGACTTCCCGGTGTTGTCTGAACACAATTCTCATCAGTTCTAATAAGCAAAGCCAATGGCAAGGGATGCTGAGAGCTGCAGTTAAAATTGTCCCTGCCCCACTTTTACAAGAAAAAGAAGCATCATTTCTGGGCCCTTGTGTCAGAGCAGCTCTAAAACATTTGCTTCCCATTTTGCTGAAGGAGCACTAGCTGCTCTGTTCTTTAAAATGAAAACTCAGGAGAAACAGATCACTCTTTTTTTCTAGGCAACGGGGAAAAAGTGGAGGCCTGTACATCAGTGAAGCCAGAGGCTAGAACAATGACTATAGCTTCAGCTCTAGATAATCAGGTCCACAGCCAGGTCTCTGGATGATTGCTTCAGTTCACCACTATTAATAACACCCCTATGTTTTGTTTTGCTTTTAATCAGAAAGTGGTAGGACAAAAGGGTTTTCAGCTTTCATTTAATAACAGGAATGTTCAAGTTGCGAATTAAAAATTGGCAGCCATATTTCCTGGGAGGACTAAAGACAAAACAAATGGCACCCTTGAAGCTTCTCATGCAGCCTAACACAGGAAAGCACATTCATATACTTAATACTGCTATTAGCATGAACAATATTGCAGACTTCAAACTGACACACTGTAGAAGAGTAAGGGTGACGTACCTCAGCAACGAGGACTCTGAAGTAATGGTCTCCCTAACCTTTAAGGGAAGCAACCATTCTTGATTACAGTGGTGCCCTACAAGACAAATGCCTCGCAGGACAAAAAACTCGCAAGGCAAATGGTTTTGGCAATGGGGTTAATGACTCGCAAGACAAATGTTCCTATGGCCATGCTTCAGAAGACGCATGTTTCCCGTTTTTTGTTCCTGCCTCATGTTTGCTGATTCTTAAATGTTTTTCTATGATGTTTAAAAAGTTAAAGTTTTTTGATTGAAATTTTTAAAATCATCTGCACAATATGTATGGCTTTAAAGAGCACTTAATAAACCCTTTGTAAACCAAATTTGACTTTTTCCTGACTTTTTTTGCCCATAGGAATGCATTAATTAGATTTCAATGCATTCCTATGGGAAAACGCGTTTCGCAAGACGAATTTTTCACAAGACAACATTAACTGCGGAACGAATTTAATTCTCCTTGCGAGGCACAACTGTATTTCTATAATTCTTGATTTACCATGGCTTATAAGCTGTTGTTTTCTGTTTACAATTTACCAAATTTTGGAAAAGTTGCCCTTCGGGCTTAGTTGTATGGTGTAACTCTGGGAGGCGCAATCCAAAACAAGCAACTTTTCCAAGCTCTGCCCTTTACATATCCATAAGGGAAGATGGTCCTATTGAATCTGGATAATACTTACATGCCTGGAGAGAATAGTTTAGTACCTGTAGAAGAACTGGTAAGGTTGACCTTCACACAGCAATGACAAGTTACGATGGCTGAGTTTCATGCCCTTACCTGGGTGGTGGAGACGGAAGAAGAGGAGGAGGCTGGAACGGTGCTAGCAAAAGGAGAGCGAGTGAGCTGGGGGAGTGAGGAAGTGCCTTGGTGAGCCAGGAGGTTGGAGGAGAGGGGCGTGCTGCATACTGTCCTGAGCACCCCACCTCCATGGGAAATGGGGTCCTTATTACTCGTGTAAATCCCTGCGCAAAGAAATCAAAGCCAGATGTGAAGCAAGGCAGTCATCAAAAGAAGTAACCATTCGTGCCAGATCATTCTTTATCTACAAGTCTTATTCGTTTTCTCTCCACCTCCTGTCCAAGATAACATAAACGCCTTTCCTTGCCTCCTTCACTCTCCTACAATAATTCCAGCTGGACATGCCAATATTATGTCTGTTTCAGAGAACTGGACAACCAGAGACTGATGGCTTTTCAAGAGCACAGATTCACAAAAGCACTTCTGCTGCTTGTTTAGTTTAATGTGCGGGGTATGGCAAGGAGAACGAAACCGTGGCCTTCTGTAAGTTGTTTGCCTGCATTAACCCTCATTATTGGGGTGAAGGGAACATCTGGAAAACTAATGTGTTTCCCCGAAAATAAGACAGGGTTTTATATTAATTTTTGCTTCAAAAAAGGCATTAGGGCTTATTTTCAGGGGATGTTTTATTTTACAGTCATGTCATCTTCTTCTGATTGCTGCACAATGGTGGAGGGCAGGGTTTCACTTAACTGGGGCTTATATTGTGGGTAGGGCTTATATCACGAGCATCCTGAAAAATCATACGAAGGCTTATTTTCAGGTTAGGTCTTATTTTAGGGAAATAGGGGGTATATACCTCACCCCTGACATATAACATCGCCCTGGTCCCTAAACCACAAAGTACTGATTCCTGGAAAATGTGGTGACTTTTCTAAGCTTCTCCCCACAAACTCTACTACAGTTCTGCAGTTTTAAAATGTTTGTTGTTGTTGTTGTTGTTGTTCTAAAATGTTTGGGTTTGTTGTTGTTGCTATTGTTTTTGCTAGGGTCCAGCACAACCTTGGGATCCTCAGACTCCCCCCGGCTCCTCCTCCAGTTTAGGGCACCCAAAAATGCTCAGACATGTCCCAAGAATTGTTGAGGGATACATAATAGGCCATTTAAAATTAATTTCCCTTGGGCCTGTATTAAACTTGAAATAGCCATTTTGAAAGACTTTCATGTTTTTTTTTAAGGAGCAAGATTTGTTGCTGTTTAGTCATTAAGTCGTGTCCAACTCTTCGTGACCCCAAGGACCACAGCACGCCAGGCCCTCCTGTCTTCCACTGCCTCCTAAAGTTGGGTCAAATTCATGTTGGTAGCTTCAATGACACTGTCCATCCATCACGTCCTCTGTCATCCCCTTCTCCTCTTGCCTTCACATTTTCCCAACATCAGGATCTTTTCCAGGGAGTCCTCTCTTCTCATGAGATGGCCGAAGTGTTGGAGCCTCAGCTTCAGGATCTGTCCTTCCAGTGGGCACTCAGGGTGGATTTCCTTCAGAATGGATAGGTTTGATCTCCTTGCAGTCCAGGGGACTCTCAAGAGTCTCC